AACAATGTAGCATATATACAAAGATAAATGAGAGAAAAGTTTTCATTCTATAATACAAGTCAAATAAATCTATTCCTGGGGGTTTTCCTGCTGTGTTAACCCAATTCAAACATGGAGTGAGGCCTTTCATTTTCATTACATCACATAAAATTCCAAGGCACTTTTTCTTCAAATTAGGATTATCTTTTCTGAGACAATCTATAGGAGAAAAGAAGACAAAAATTCAATTTTAAACTTGCTTTTTTGTATTAAAAATAATCTATAACATTTTAATACATAGCTAAGTTATCTTTTCATGTACATTTCAGAAAAATCATTAATATCTTAAAATTAAAATGCTTGTAAATTCATCATTGGTTGAGGAGATAGGAGAGAAGGGATTATTGTCTCTTTTTTAACCCAAATTTTTAATCCAAAGAATAATGACTAGTATGTATTAGGTGTTATTCACTTTAAAAGCCATATAATAGAAATAATAAATCACCCTTTCATGATACGTGGTATCCAGATAAAGGGAAAAAGAAGTTAGAATTCATTACTTGAAAATTTGCAAAAAATAATGCTAAACAAAAACACTAAAGAACACTAAAAGATCTAATTTGATTTCCAAATAAGTATTTAGAAGATAGAAGACAAGATAAATTCCTTTGGCAAAAAAAGAGGAAAGGCATAGTATTTTAAACACAAATATTTGCTATCTCTATCTTCTAAATGTCTAGCTTTGCTAGAATATAGTTTCAAATAAGATTTTAAATTCTAGTAGAGTATCTAGATTTTGTGATTTCTTCCATTTATTTATTATTTTATTCACAATTTATTTTTCCCTTAGATCAATATTATTAAGTTAAATAATTTTTTTAAGTAACCAGCAATGGAGCTAATAAAATAATTTCATTTTTACTTAATTTGGAGGAGCTTATCAAGTTCATCACATAATTTGTCCACTTCATGCTGTGTGCACATGAGATACAATTATCATCATGATAGTCTTTTTGCTCATTCTCAGTCATAAGTATTACAAGGCAATGTGACAAAGTAAAAGTGTACAAAGATGAATGAAGACCAATGTGTACAATGAAAGTATATTCCACTAGAAGACCTGGGATAACAGTGTATATCACATTTCGTGTGAGGAGTAATTTTATTCCTTTCATTCTACCTATAGACTTTTCACATATAACCATATACAAAAAGTAGCCCTTTTGCAAATGGATCTATCTACTTAAGAATTAACATAGAACTTAACAAAACATAGCAAAAAGCTTGATCCAAGGCAACTTATGCAAGAATTTTTTTCAAAGTACATTTTGTTGATTTCAAAACAATAAAGTTGATGTAAGATAATTTTCATTCCATTTTAACTTCTTAATCAAGCTTTTCCCTTTACTTGGGTAGGTTCTAATTCAGTTTTTAGGATGGGTCAACTTTCAAACTGACACCTTATAGCATAAGGGCCATATAATATTGGCAATATGAATGCCTATTAAAAGTTGGAATTATCTTTATTGGGATGATCTGTGGGGAAGGGGTAAAAAGACAAAATATCATTTAAATTTGGTTTTCAAAGCACAGAAAGTACATAAAGATAATGAAATTTTAATTCATCAATAAATTTTTTAATGTACATTTTCCAAGCTTTCAAAGAAACCTTTTATTTTAAGAAGGGGACATGCTGCAATATTTTTGGAACTTGCAACATTTCTGCTGAAACATTTTAGGAAAGTTTTTGAAAATGTCAGTCAAATGCCAGTATACTTGTGGAAGCTATGCAATATAAAGTTATGCAGGTTTAGTTAGCTCAAATGTGTCAGAAATTGAGTCTATGTGATTTAGAGCCATTCTAATTCATCATGCTATAATTCAAATCTAAACTTTATAATATTCAGAAGATAAAGAAACAAAATTAATTTGGCCTGAGTTTTAAAATGTTGCTTGCTTAGTTAATTAATGTAATTAATTTTTATTATTATATTGATTTGAATAACACCCTAATGGTTTTCTTGAGTGGACTTCTCCATGGTGCTGAAATTCAGGTTAGGAAAGTTTTACTGATTACTTAAAAAAGCTATTAATTCAGAAAATTTTTGGCAAACGGAATATTTTTACATGGGGGGAGGTAACTTTTCTTGGGTGTAAATATTCTATTTTGGGATAGAACAGATTTGTGTTTGCACCAATTTTCAGTAGCTAATTCAAAGTCCTACCTAAATGCAAGCTACTAAGGAAGAAAAGATGTACTGCCAAGACCCTTTAAAATATTTTTATTTGGATAAATTAAGCCTGCCAGATTACAAACAAATAGGCAAAATCTGACTCATCACTTTGCTCATGTTTGAGTTTTAGGCTGACATTAAAAGGTCTTCATTATTTCATTTTAATTTTTTTCTACCACTTTTTCCTTCCTCTCATTATTATAGCTACCCATGTTACATGAAACAAATATTTTTTTGAGTTTCACTTCAACTTTACAACAAATTTTAATAATTTGGAAGATTAAGTACTATTAAACATATCTGTTTTTATAATGTCTTTCTGGTGCTGACTACACAATTGTTTCACACACATACAATTTCCCAAACATAAGCAAACTCTCCTCTTTGTAATGAATACTGAGCCCAGCTCTTTCTCTAGCTTCAATACCCACACTGGTGGACTACTTCAATGGGCTACTTATCCACCTCCATGTCACAGTCTGAGAGACAAACATTCTTTATCTATTCAGGTTTTTTCCCTCCAAGTGTGGATGGTTAGGCTGGTTTATTTCATGGTGTTGGATCTCATTGGTGGAAGCTCTGTAATATGCTGGGGCTTGATACAATCAGTAATATTGCATCCCAAACTAGGAGAATGATGCCACTCATGTCAAATGAGACAATATTTGTAAAACATGTTGCAAGATACTAAAGTACTAGATAAATATGAACTTGTACTATATGCAGGGAATCCTTCTTTGGTTTGAACTGTGCCCATCCAAATCAATCATATAGCACCTCATTTTGTGTCTCACTTGATATATAAATCATGAAGTTATCTTTGTTATCTCCATCTATAAACAATAATTTGATAGTATTCTAAATATGAAAATTTGACTCCTTTTCCAATGGCCTGTGAATTGCCATGATACTAGAGGCATTGAACAGTTTCAATCAATAAGAATTTACTAAGCACCTATTCTGTGCCAAGATTTACTGACTCACTGGAAATACAAAGATAAAATCAAAAAAAGTCCCTGCCTTCAAGGACCTTATATTCTACCCAAGAGGAGAGTTTACACATGCAAATAAATAGAAAATAATTTGGAGCATGTTAACAACTGAGTGGGATGTGTTAGTAAAAAAAAAAATCCTCATGGAAGAGATGACATTGATCTGAACTTTGAAGAAACTAGGTATTCTAAGAGGCAGAAGTGAAGTTGGAGTTTATTCCTAGCAGGGGCAGCAGTCTGTGCAAAGGCACAGAAATGGGAGATAAAATGTTGTGTATGATTATCAGAAAGTAGGCCAGGTTTGACTAGGACATATATTGTAGGAGGAATAATAATGAGAAATCACTTTGAAAAGACACACTGAAGTGGGATTTGAAAGGGCTTTGAAAGACAAAGAAAAGAGTCTATATTTTCCCCCATGAAGCAACAGGGAAACACAAGAGCTTTTGAGTTAGATAGTCCCTTATTCAGTCTTGTCTTTCACATTATCATCTAGCTACGTGGAGGATGAATTAGAAAAGAAAGAGGCTTGAGGGAGATAAACAAATTTGGAAGGAATTAGGATTTTTTATATATATATATATGTGTGTGTGTGTGTGTGTGTGTGTGTGTATGTATATACATATACATATACATACACATATACATATACATATACATATACATATACATATACATATACATATACA